CACACACACACACACACACACACACACACACATAAGAGCCAGGGGCGTTCTTGCCTTTAGGGGCAAGCTTTTCGATAGAAAAGTGCCCACTGAGGAAATGCCAACTTTTTAGCCCCCTTTCACCAGCTTTCTCAGGAAGTGGGGACATTCCAGCAAGCACATTCTATTTGCACATATTGATTCTGTCTGGAATAAGTGGTTTCCAAGATAACCAGGTTCTGAGCCATACAGGGCTTTCTAGGTAATTATCAGCACCTTGGACTGCCCTCAGAAAAAAACTGGCAGTTGTAGCTGTTTCTGTAACAGTGGCGCAATGTGACAGTCATGGGTTTGACCTATATCAAACAAGTAGCCACATTCAGCACCAGTTGAAGTTTCCCAGTGGTCTTCAAGGACAGCTCCATGTAGAGTGGATTACAATAATCCATTCAGGAGGTGACAAGAGTGTAAGTGACTGTAGTCACTTCTTCCTGTTCCAGAAAAGGCTGGCACACCAGCTGAAACAGGGCAAAGGTCTTCCTGGCTATGGCCTCCCCCTGATCTTCCAGCAGGAGCCATGACTCCAGGAGACCTTCCAGTTTGTGAGGCTGCCCTTTCAGGAGAAGCCCCACCCCATCCAGAGTCAGAATTGGCATAAAGTTGGTATAATCCTGGCATGGGCTGGCTTCTGAATTAATAGCTACTCCATCTTGCTGAGCTTGTTTTCCCCCATCCAGGCCTGATGGCCTCTAATCAAGTCTTCTGCTACATCTCCTGTTCAGTCCAGGGTGGAGATATGTAGCTAAGATCATCTGCAGTAGAGAATTGACTTGTTGAGATCATTGGCATTGGGCAACTCTATTTTTTCTTTCTTTGAGCTAAAGCTACCTAGTAGCTTTGATCTTTCTTCACATGACTTGGAAGCTGGGGATAACTTTGAGTTTGCAGTTCTCTGAAGTTTTCCTGGGCTCGTCAGGATCTTGAGAATTTCCTGGCATTGATCTGTGAGTGACTCAAAAACCTGAGATTAGCTTGCTGCTCAATTCAATGTTTGTCAGATCGTGGGTGTGATGCTTCCTTTAACTTGTTATATCATTGTTCAATGTGATATCCCTGAATGTTTGCAAGTTTTGAAATGCTGTTGATTGGATTATGGAATCAGAGTTGGAAGTGTCCTTGAAGACTATCAATCCCCCATTCAGCTCAGGAATCCAGCTTAAAACAGGGAGCAGAGGCATGCTGGCTGTTTAGCCTCTGCTTGGACATATCCAGCAAACAGGATCCTTCCACTTCTTAAAGAATTATTTCCACTGTTCAATTACTCTTACAGTTAGTTATCAGTCCCCTGAGGATCCTCTTTACAGCTGTTCTTGATTGTCTGGATCCTTCGTAAAATGTGGTGCTCAGATCTGGTTACAGGAGCTGAGATGGAGGTAAGAAGTGAATCTGAACGTATTTTGGCAATCCCAGTTGGTGATAAAACGAGATGCAATATTTTCTGTTGGGAAAAAGTCCCCTATTCTATTTTTTGGTTGAAAGTTTTCCTCTTCTGAACTAGTGTCATTCTGGAAATGCATGAGTGAACAGCAGGCTAGTCAAATGGAGGAGCTGAAATGGATGTCACTGCTCGTAAAAGTGTGTTTATTTGTTTAAACAATATTTATAGTCACCCATCTTACAACAATAACTCTGGGCAGTGCACAAGAGATTAAAACAAAACCAAAATATTATATACCAAAGAGAGGCCCAAAATCTAAAACCGAACTTATAGCAAACTAAGGAAGAACATGTTGTTATGGGCACAACTCTTGGATTGTTTTCCCTTCCTGTAACTTTAAATAACTTAAAAGGAGGTGCATATGTTTGTTATTGATCATCATCTCTTTAAATATTTACAAATGTTACAGTAAAATATTGACATTACTTTGGCTATAATTTTAAAAGTATACTATTTAGGTCCACTTAATTAATTTTCTTCGCCCTGAATCAAGTTCCACTTTTCAGATGCTTTCCACTTTTGAAGAAACCGTTTTTCCCAGATATTTTTGTGTAGCATGCAGGACTCATGTAATGCCTTTCAAAAATGAAGTATACTTCAATATAAGTAGATCAAGTGAGATCTCTGTTGATTTTAGAACAGCAGACAAGCATCAGGAAGACTTTACCCAATGTTTCCCAGTGCGTATTTTTGGAGAAGGAGAAGGGGTGCTGGGGAGGATGGGACTTGTACTTCACTACAACAAGAGAGCACCAGATCCGGGGTGGCTGCAGTAAAACCTGTTTTCGTGTGACCTTCAGATGCAGAGGCTGGCTTTTAAAAGGAGCTAATGACTTGGAAATGAATGGTCTTGTTAATATTTGAACCTATTAACGCACCGCTTTGCATTGTTTACTGCACCTCTTGTGAGGGGTGTGTGTGTGTGTGTAGATCTTTATAATCCTTCTTGATCAAGAGGGTTGGTGGCCATCATAGGCTCTCAGTCAGCTCCAGAAAACTCCCTGATGTCATCACCATCATTAATTTACTTGACCACCTGGTCTCTCACGCCCTCCCTGATGGTTTGTCCATGCCCTGACCTAGGTGGGGGCTTGCCTAGCAGCAACTACTGAATCTGAAAAGCTGCTTAACACTGCAGGTTTCCACAAGGCTTCAGACTCATGCTGCGTCGGCCTCGCTGGGGCATTATGAGACATTCAGAACAGTGTGGGGGTTCCGTACTGGTGCAAGTGAATGGACTCTGCGAGGATACCTGGGACCAACCCTTGCTGGGATTGCTAGCCCTGCAGGAGATACTCCAAAAATAGGGAATGTGTGGCCTTCTAGATGCTGCTGAACTCCATAACTTCCAGGGCTAACAAGCATAGCTACCAGCATGGGGAACTGGGAAGTATAATTCAGTAACATCTGAAAATCCACAGCTTTTCTTGTCTTAGCTTACCCTCCATCTCTGATGGCCTACAGTACTCAAATATGTGGGTTCCCAGGTCCTGTCTTCTCAGGTGATGGCTCTTACCTGGGCAAGAAGACTGTTTTTCTTCTCTTGGCTCCAAGCAAAGGTTGGGGAATAACTGGTTGGGGGATACAGTGGGGACATCCTGACTTGAACAACCTTTGTGCTAGTAGCTAGAATGTGCTGTGTTCCTGGGAAATCTTTGCTGAGCCTAGAGATCTGGGCTGCAGCTTCATCACAGGCTACTTCAAGGAAAGAAGATGAGATAAGAGAAGAGGTTGGGCTGAGTCAGCTCTCCTGACAGGCACTTTAAACCCAGGCTTCGGTTGCTGTCAGAAAAGTATTGCAACATAAAGCAGGTTTCCTTCCTCCTCTTTCAATCTCTGCTTTGCTGTTTCAGCTTATAGCTACTAATCAGTTCTGGATTTCAGGAATCTAATTCAATTCCCATCTGAATGAGTGCCATTGCCCAATTCTTGTGGTTCTGACTTCATCTATCTCCAATTTGGGCCAGTGGCTGTGCTAACTAGAAGCTGATGTTGAGGTCTTCCATATTCAGAGAGCACCACGTTGGGAAAGGCTGGTTTAGATCCTTGGAAAAAAGTCCATCAAGCACTATAGTCCTTTGGATATAATGGAACCACCGTGCTTGGGAAGAATTTAGTGGTGGATGTTATAGAGAAATGGCTAATACTATTAGACTCAGCTTGTGAATATGGTTAGCTAGTTTGCAGCTTGGGGCATCGTACATACACAACCAGACTGGATACTGGGTAAACTGCATGAATTCAGGTGGCATGTTGTATGAATATCACCACCAAAAGAGAAGTTCTTCTGGCTCTTTTGAAGGCTCAAACCTGAGAAGCAACTTGGATGTTTTCAAGAGGATGTGCAGAAGCCACAGATTCCATTCTGAGGCTGGACAGGGACAGTAATGGTGGTTTCAGTAGTTCTCAGTTTTTTGAAATCAGCTAAGGGTGACCTTGGGTGAAACAAGAGCCTTTCTAATGATTGGTCAAGAATTTCTTAGCTGTCACTTTTGAAGTTTCTGTACCTGTAGGTCCCCTCTTAAGCATGCTGCATTTCATTTCATTTTCTGCTTTTCCTGGAGAAGAGTTAACATGTATGTTTGGTAGGATCAGAATTGGGGGGTGTTCTTGGATTGCTTGAGTGTGTTGTTGTGTTAAGAACCAACTAACCTTAAGGATGGTTATTGGATCCAAAAGGAAAGGTGGATGAAAGATCAACCATCTTATCTCCAGATGGTTTCAACTAAACCTGAAACAGGGTTATGCAAACTATGTGCGACACACCTAAAAACAAGCAGAGCTTTGGTTGCACCATCACAGCTGCAATCAAATTAACCACATCTGGACTTCTTTGACCATACTTAGGCGGACACCCCAGCCCATAGAGACTCCTTATGAGGCCCTCAAGCTTCTTCCCTTGACTCTGCTAACCTCTCTCTTGTTGAAATTTCTGTGAGCCCCACATTTATAGGGATTGGAATACAATGCTACAGAGACCATGTTTTCAAAGCAGTGGCTGATCCTGCACAAACTGGACTTCATCTGCTCTGTAACCAAACCTCAGCTCTTAAATCTTTTCAGTGTTGAACATAGCGTTGCCAAACAATTCACAGTATCTTTTTGTTCAGTGGTTAACTGAACAGGGGATGTGTGAGACCTATTCTGTTTGTAATTTGATCACAGCTCTCTCGCTCTCGTTTCTGCAACCAAGGTGGAATATGTTATTGCAAAGAAACCAAAATACCAGCTTCCTCAACTGCTTCATGTTCAGCCTTAAAGACAAAACAGCCTACAATACACGAGACGCATAATTAAATTGGCCTGCTTTAGCAGCTGTGTTGATCATACAGATTGAGTCTTTGTCTGCAGATATGCTGAACACTAAGTGACAATTTTAGCTTTCTTGGATGAAAGCAATATATTTCCTTTAGCCAAGAACATGAAACAATTATAATTATGACCAGTTGGAGTTGGCCAGTAAATGTCTTCACAAAGAGGTTGGCAACATGATTGAGACTCCAATCTGTATATTATTTTAGTATAGTTTTAGGGAACTGGGGACTCAGAAATGGATGAGACCACATTTTTTTCTGAGGTCTTTCTTCATGGTTTGTGATTTGGGGTATCAGAAACATCCCCATGGGCTTAATATATCTTAATCAGCTTTGTTTTCTTTTACATATTGTTGTGCTTTATTAGATAAAATAAATAATAGTAATAGCAAACAAGTGGTTCCAGTGAACTAAAAAAATACTCATATCAAATTAACCTTTCATACTGACAGACCACATGATCTACATTAAGACTATAAAGGGAGATAATAAAGCTTTAAACAGGAAAGGGAGAAAGGAGAGAAAAAGTAAAGCAAATGACTGGAAACTACCCAGTTGCTGAAAGTTGGGTGGTGTATAAGTTTAATAAATTATTATGGTTGGTCACACAGTCAGCCAGATGTTTAGACTGGATTTGGCATTTTTATCCACCTATTGAGTCCTTCCCAAGGACCTGGGCTAGGCAGTTTATGATTATTTAAACAAAACAACTCCTGAAAATTTGACCAGATTGGTCAAGTCGTTGTCTTTGTCCTGGTATCAAAAAAGAAAGAAAGGAAAGTTCAGATGTTGACGTTTGGAGCAGATTGAGAACCTGCCTCTAAAAAATTGTCTTGTTTTCTGCTGGGACACTAGAGGGAAAAAGGCTACCTTTGAATTCTGGCAATCCTGTTTCAAGGTGGAGGCGTACCTTGGCTACAAAAAAAGAGTTTGGGGGCTGAAAGAGGCCCACGAGCCATGTTTGGTTTATTCCCACCTTAATAGCTAAATGTGTTAAAGGAATATGACTTTCAGAGTACAAGTGTGGGCCCAAATACTTTGTATTCTGGAATCAGCAGCTGTGCTTCTAGACTTGACATGGGTCCAAGGATGGGATTAAGGAGAAGAGTCCTGTCTTAGAGACCACTTCACTTGAAACTTCTGGTTGGGATCTCTTCTAAATCCAGCCGCTGTTATTGCTCCTACAGACAGTCTCTTGTCCAATAAATGCAGTGACCGAGGACATTTACACCAACGGCTCAGCCAAGAATGGGAGCCTGGCCCATGCCAACGGCCATGAGTTGCGGAAAATACGTTTTATCCAGTTTGAGAAGATCACGGAGGAGCCCATGGTGAGCTGATGGGAGAGAGGGAAAGAGATTTAATTTGGGTCATTCCAGATGCTTGGATATCCCTGTCTTGATCCTATAGACCAGTGTTTCTCAACCTTGGCAAGTTTAAGATGGGTGGACTTCAACTCCCAGAATTCCCCGACACAGCCGCTGACGTAAAAAATCTTGGTTGGGTGAAGGACCCCTTGTTTAAATATCGATGGATAGGAGAAAGATATTG